GAGTGCAATAATAATAGAATAAATTATTCATAAAAATTGATAAAACTTAAAAAACATGAACTATAAAATTTTCTTTATGAACGTGACTATATAGTCACAAGAAAACATGCAGTATGATTGAATGTGTTATTATTTTTATAGTCAAGATTTCAGTTGACAATAGTTGGATACATATGAAAAACCGGTTGTTTGATTAGTATTGGGAAGGGTTATATACTTTTATCAACATTGTCAAAGACCATGTTGATGAAAGTAGTTGTACAAGTTGTCATCGTCGGAGGTGTTTAAACTATAAGTGTTTTCTAATAGAAACAGTTAGAGCACACATACACCAATATGGTTTCAATACTTTATCTACGATGTGGCATTACCATGGTGAAGACGATATTGCGACCAATGCAATAAATGAATGAGTTGATGAGATAGTTGCAGTTATACATTATGTTGTTAGAAATAACACCGATCATGATATGCCAGTTGAAGTACAAGCTAAGGTGTTTGGTGATGCGTAGCACGATGAATTTAAAGAGTTGTTATCCAAGATCGAATCAACATTGTATCCAGGGTGTACTAAGGATTCGTCATTGAATTTTTTGGTGAAACTGATACATTTAAAGGTGCTCTACAAAGGGCCCAATGAGTGTATGAACTCTGTTTTGAAACTGTTGAAAGATGCATTTCCTGAAGGGATTAAACTCAAGCTTCTTATTACGAGGCGAAGATGAAATTGGGAAACTCGGTTTGTGCTTCAAAACAATACATGTCTGTAAGTATGATTGTGCATTATTCTGGAAGGAGAATGTCGATCTACAGGTTTGTCCAGTATGTAACACCAGTCGTTGGAAGAGTAGAAAAACAAAAGGTAAAAAAGTACCATAGAAAGTATTATGGTATTTTCCTTTAAAGGATCGATTGAGGCGTCTGTATAGCTCACGTCACACTGCAAAGGAAATAACGTGGCACATGCAGGGGCGTTCGAAGGATCGATTTAGATATGAAGTATCCTAAATTCGCTCAGGAACCAAGAAACGTTCAATTAGGTTTAGCTACTGATGATTTTAATCCTTTCAGAAACATATGCTTATCATATAGTATGTGGCCGGTGGTTCTTATTGCTTACAATTTACCTCATTGGTTATGCACCAAGGATCCGTACAAGATATTGACACTATTTATTCTAGACTGAAATGTCCCTAGAATGGATATTGATGTCTTTTTACGACCACTTGTTGATGAACTTAAAGAACTGTGGGTAGAGGGAATCAGCGTTCGTGATGCTACTTTAAATGCATCGTTTAGGATGCGTGCTGCATTGCTAATGACTATCAATGATTATCCTGCTCGTGCTAGTTTATCTGGTTGGAGTGGACATGGGTATTTAGCATGTTCATCATGCAATGATGCGACACCATCAAAGAGGTTGATGAGTAAAAACTGTTTTGTTAGGCATCAACGGTAGCTTCCTATTGGGCATAGGATGAGAAACAGTGGGAAGTTTGATGGTAAGGTTGATCGCCATCCTCCTCCGCCTCGGAAGTCTGTCGAAGAAATATTATTTTAGTTACAGAATGTCAGGTCCAAACTGCCTAGTAAACATGAAAAGTATTGAGGTAGAAAGTTCTAATGATGTTGAAGACATTCGTAGTGATGACGAATAGAAATAAAGTAGTTATATTATATTTATGAATTTTTTATATATTTGTTAAGAAATTGCATAAGAAATAAAGTAACTAATGAAGATATTTTTTTATATGACCTAGAGTCATGATGTCTGGCCCAATAGCTACATGCGCCGGCTCTGCAGGAGGATCACAGCCTCCACCTGATCCGACGAGACTCTCAGAACATTGTTAGTCAGGTATTATATACTATAACACAGGAACGATATTTTTTATTCGTCAAACTCTATATAATCAAATTTCTTTATTTTTATTTTCTTATAGTTCTAGAGCCGACACCTCAACGTCGATCTGGTCGAGGGGTAGCTCTAGGTCAAGATATAGTGAAGAGGGTACAAAGAGATGGGAAGCTTTTTGTCTTATTTGATGAGACTGGTATGTGGAAGGCGACTGGTGAAAACGCTTTATATTTTGACAGTGGTTTCGGCTTGCACACAAGAGATATCCGTGGCCCACACTATAAAAGGAGGATTCAAAATCGCATGCTGGTATCTATTTGAAACAAAATTTGTTCTAAAAATTTAATTGTGGATAGAATATTTAAAATTTATATGTTGATTTTTTAAAGTATCCCAGGATTGGTTTAACCTCGACTACGACCGCGACAATGACATCATTAGAGATGTAGTCGACCTTGAAGCCAGAAAATGTTACAAGGACTGGAAGACTACCTTGCACAGACACTTCCAGAAGATGGGAGGGGCAAAAAAGGAGGATTTTGTTAGGCAAAATCCTCATAAAAACTCGAGGAGAAAAGAGCAATGGGGACCTTGCTGTGATCATTTTATGTCCCATGCTTTTCAGGTTCAATTACATTATGTCTTAATCCATTTTTGATTAATTAGTTTATTTAATTATTAAGTATATTACTAATTTATCTATGATCATTACTAGAAAAAATCTGCTACAAATCAACAAAACTGTGGCAGTCAAAAGTTGCTTCTATGGTAGAAAGTCATACTCTCAGCATCGTTTTGATAAGGTAATACTAATTTGCATACTTATTAAGTTTTTTTCACTTTAGTTTAATAATTATTCTAATACATTCAACTTGATTAGGCAAATCTCGAGACCTAGGAGCTAAGACCATTAATTGACAACTATGGTGACATGCACCGTCATGGGTAGAATTTTATCAATCCGGACGCGGAATATGCATTTGTAAGTAAATTTTAAATTTATTTCTTTTTTCATATTTAACATAACATATTATACTATTTTTATTCATTTACCTTTGCAGGCTCAGATGGAAGGGGAAAGAACCACACAGATGACACAATCTGCTGGCGAAGGTTCATCCACGGCGGTCAATAAGGAGGGGATTATGTCCCAAGTCTTGGGCAAGCGCAGAGGACACACTAAGGGAGTGGAATCGACACTGCCACAGAGGACTCATTCAAGCGCTTCCACCTCATCAGCTGCTTCGCAATCAAACGGGTCGTCTTCAGTTAATTTGTCCCAGCATGTCCAAAACTAGCTAAACAACCTCTACGTCGAGCAATGCAACATGTTCGACAACCAGCAAATCATGATAGAAGTCATGCGCTTGATGAATCTCAACACCAACTTCTTGTCAGTTTGCCGTCCCCAACCGTTAGTTCCTCCGCCGCCTGAGCAAAACAGAGAAGAAGATGATGAGGACGACGATACTGCTAATTTAGAAGATTGAAATATTTGTTTTTATTTTTCTTATTATCAATAGTATTTCTTGATTAATTTATTTTTTAAGACTTATTTTATTATTATGTTGACTATTTTATATCAATCTTTTATTAACAAATATCAATTTTATTG